TACATCCAACTCTGTCTGCTGGAAATTGCTCCGTGCTGATCCAGTAAAGTGCATTAAAACCCCAATCCAGGTAGTATTAAAGGGATAAATGAACCACAGAGAAGAGACTCTTGTTCTGGATTTTTACTAAGGCATTTTTATCCTTTTTTTCTCTTTTTCCAAATTCAGGAAATAAATAGTTTAAAATGGATTTTGGAGAGTATATTTCTGCCATGGTGAATGGCCCCTGTGCTGGAAAGGGCTTGAGTTTTGAAAATTAAGTTTTAGCTTCACAGCTACACTTTGAATTCTTGCTACTTTTGTATGATGCGGAGATATTACAATTGACCCTATTAAAATGATCTAATTTTCCATGACGTTATTGCCTACCAGAAAAAAATATTAATTTGTTTTATTTATTGTCATTTGCTGTAGTCTAGTTGTATTGGAAATAAAATATGGAAGAAGTAATACAATGTAAACTGAGTAGTTATGAAACCCTAAGAGTACGTCTTCGTGTGTTAGGGTTCGGCAAGGGGCATCTCTCGGTGGGTATTCATAGTTAATTCATGATCAATTTCACAAAAGGAGACTGAGTTTTCTAAGAAGCAGATTTATCTTTTGAGCAATGTGGACATTTTTGAGTTAAAATTATCATATTATTTTTATTTTGTGCTCTTATCCAATTAAGAAACATTGTTTTAAAAATGGTAAATAGTTGTGTTTTTCTCTCCAGCACAATATGGAATCATTTTAATAGTTTTCTTAAGTGACCCCAGGATTGTTCTGTTAAATTTGTATGGGACTCATCATGTATATGCATTGAAGAATAAATGTATAGATAGTGTCTCACAGTGTGTCAAATGACAAGTAACTTAAAAAAGAGGAATGCTTTCTGGTTCACCTTGAAGATATTACAAGAATCACTAGAATGAATGTCAGAAAGGAGAGTATGGTCAAAGAAAGACCTCCTACCTGACAATTGCAAAAGGTACAAATGGTAAAAACAAGTATATTATCTGACTGAGAATAAAATGCCTATGCTGAAATGTAAAGTAGAATTAAGTTTAGCTTCAGGAATACTGTCAAGGCTAATACAAAAAGCACAGGCAAATCAGCATACACCACACAAGCTCAATCATTTGCTTCCAAATGGCTTATTTTCAAAAGCTAAAATGTCAATTCCATCCCTACATGTTGAATTGACAGCTTCTCCTCCCATTAGCATTAATGAGCTACCCACTTAAATCCTCCCTCTGACTTCAACAAGGGAGCTAGAGATATCCCCTCCTACTCTCTGTTTTGTTTCTGTATATACCAAATGTTGGCTATTCACTAAATTAGTGTAAATTTATCGGCTATGGTGCACATTACCTTCCATAGCTAAAAATGACTTCTCATAGGAATTAGTGTTAAAATGTAATTTTAATCATCTGTCAAAATACGTTAAATAATCATTACTCACCAGCAGACTGTTAGGAAATACACTAAATCTTGGTGAACATGTGACCTCTGCAACTGAGGCATTTTCTACAAAATTAGAGTTGAAAAGGAGCTTGACAGCTTGCTTAATCTAATTCCTTTCTTTCAGAGGCCCTCACATAAACAGTTCTTGAAGAGTGGTTTAAAAAAACAATAGAGACAGAATCATTTCAGGTCACCTGTTTCTCAATTGCTCTCCTCATCACAGTCCCAATTCTAGTTAGCACGATTCTTTTCCTTTTCGTGGTTTGGTGGCTGAAACTAAGGATAAAGGTGGGGTGGAAAGAAGTGAGTGAGGTAACTTTCAAAGTTAGACCTAATACAGGTCCCTCCTGAAGTTGGAATTAGAATGAAATGAGACCTAGACCATCTAGCATTCAATAAATAAAACAAGTTCACTTCACAATAGAATGGAAAGGGTATTCATCAAGGATGAGACATTGATTCAATTTGATGGGGCTCCTCTCTTTCCTCATTTCCCATACTGGCATGCCCAGTGAGCAGCTTGTGAAAAACTGAGGACCCCTGTCTCCTTGTGGACTGGGCTTGTCTAGTAAACCAGCTAGTTTAATCAACAGTTAGAACTTTAGGTCCTTGGGACCAATTAAGTTTTGAGAGAGTTTTGGGGTTGGGGGTGGGGGAAGCGAAGGGGAGGAACAAGAGGGAGACCAGTCTAGCTTGCATGTAGTAGATTTTGCTTCTAGTCAAGGATTTATATATATAAAATACTTTCTCTCAATACACGCATGTATATACTCCTCAGAACTATCAGTGTCTCTTTCCTAGTTTCCCCTCACTGTAAATAAAGCTATCATATTCATAGGCTATGATTTTTTTTTTCCCAGCCATTTTGGTAAACTTAGCTACCTTGTAGTTGGGATGATTTGAAGCAAAAAGAAAAATGATGGGATGCTAAAACCTACTGTGTACAGAATATTGCATTATATACTATGAAAGCCATAAAGAGCTTTTGCCTTCATTGAGTTTATGGTCAAACTTAGCTCACTCCACCATATTTGAAGTCTTTAAATAATCCCAGCTGAATCTATTGTACTTTCAAAGGCGTTTTGAGAAGATTTCATTACTTCTTTCTTTAACTTTCTCTAATATCTTATCACAATACCTTCAGAAAATTAGTCGTTTTACTCATTTAATCTCTCCTATTGAAGGTAGAATCATTTATTTTAAGGTATTCTTTATGAAAAGATTGAGAATAGTTAATTATCATTCTTGTCATAATTTCTCAGTTTATAAGTGTTTTATATTTATATCCAAGATCATGTTTTTAAAAAAAATCAAAATTTACTAGGCACCTACTGTGTGCACAGCACTGTGTCTGGTGCTAGAGAATACAGACTTGAATAAACTGTAGTTATGTCCTTCATGAATACATAGGCCAGCATAGTGAGGAAAAAGTAGCTGAAGAGTCTGGAGGCCTGGGTCCAGCCCTGACATTTACCAGAGAATGTCACTTGGGGCAAGTCATTTAACTACTCTGAGGCTTGATTTCTTCATAGGAATAATAATTTTGTCCTACAGCCCTTACAGAGTCATTATGAGGACAATACTTTTTGTAAACCTTTAAGTGCTATGTTATATAAATGCAAATTGGGGGGCAGCTAGGTGGAGCAGTGGATAGACTAGTGACCCTTGACTCAAGAGGACCTGATTTCAAATCTGGTCTCAGACCAGACATTTGACACTTACTAACTGTGTGACCCTGGGCAAGTCACTTAACCCCAATTGCCTTGCCAAAACAAAAATGCAAATTGTTACTATTGTGGTGTTTATAATTTAAGAAAAGGTTAGTACCTACATATATATTACTGCAATGTAAAAATGAATTAGAGAAGTGCTTAAGAAAAATTGAAGTAAAAGGGCTAGGAGAAAAGGTGGTGGTGGTTCAGTCATGTCTGACTCTTTATGACCCCATTAGGGGTTTTCTTTGCAAAGATGCTGGGGTGGTTTGGCATTTCCTTCTCCAGCTCATTTTATGGATGAGGAAACTGAAGCAAACAGGGTTAAGTGACTTGCCCAGGGTCACATTGTTAATAAGTATCTGAGGCCAGATTTGAACTCAGGTCTTCCTGACTCCAGACCTGGGACTTTATCCACTGTACCACCTAGCTGGAGGTGGAGGGGTGGGGGGTAAATCATTTTTGCATGGGGGCTTCAGTGAAGGCTTACTTCGTGGGAGAGTAGGTAGTATTTAAGATGGACATGGGAATAGGAAGGATATTTCATACATAGTAAATAGGCAGGAGAATGTGTGGTGGGATCAACTAGGAGGGGGAAAAGTACTGCCTGGTATTCCTCTAGGCCAATTAATTTTTTTTTCTTCTCTTGTATTCAGTTTGCTTTATTCTGTTGGCTCCTTGTTATTTCTTTTAATGTCATTTAAAATGTTAATCCCATCACCCCCTCCCCTTTATTTTTTCTTCCCCTAAAATTGTCACTTAAAAGTGAATCCTCTTTCTAGATTATCTGGATTATTGATAAAAATGTAAAGCAAGTATAGGGCCAAAGGTAGTGTCTGGTGAAATAATAATTTTTATCATATTTGGGGGTCTCCAGACATGGACCATTGATGAAGGTCCCTTAAATAAGAGCTCCCACCTAATGACGGTCATACTCAATAGTCAACCATATGTCTCCAGTTATTTATTAATGAGAATTGTTATTATTGTTGTTTGTCTTTTGTTTTTGGAGAGGACCAGTGACATCACAGGGTGATATATTGACTTGGGAATAAATAGGATTTAAGTGAGGCAGATTTACACAGTAAGGTGGTATGGAATAAAGTATCAAGGGATGATCCACCACTACACAGACTTGCTGTGTGACCATGGCCATATCACTTAACCTTTCAGAACCCCAGGCAACTTTCAGGAATATAAATTCTAGACAAGTTGCTGAAGTAACTTCAATACAGATGAAATCTGGCCCAGATTCAATACAAACAAACAACCAAGAAAATGTGGAAGTCTGCCTGTGAAACTGAATGGAGGAATGTCTAAGAGGTAGAGTGTTGGATTGAAAATCAGATGAGTTCTCAAATCATGCTCCTGGTCAACTATGTGAACAATTTAAATAATCTTTCTTTGCTTTAACTTCCTCTCTCAAAACATAGGGCAAGGTATAGCAGAAGAGTCCTGGGCTTGGAGACAGGAAAACCTTGATTTCAATCCTGCTTCAAATACCTACTAGCTTTGTGACCCTGGGCAGGCCACCAACTTTTTCTCAGCTCCAATTTTCTCATCTGTAAAATGGGAATAATATTAAAACTATTACCTCTCAGGGTTGTTGTGAGGAACAAGTGAAATAATGTAGACAATGGCTTTAGGAATCTGAAAGTGCCGTACAAATGATAGTTGTTATTATTACTATTGTTATTATTATTTGAATCCTTACCACCAGATGTTACTCGTAAGGAGTTTGATGGTCTGTGGTAACAGATGTTGATTAAATAGAAAGTGCTCTGGTGTTGTCCTCTGAGTAATTGTCCTTCTTAACCTTGACGCTCTTCCCTCTATTTATAGGGACGGAACTTAGCATCGGGGGAGATCGGCTTCTTTCCTAGTGAAGCGGTTAAACCTTGTCCATGTGTAAGTACATATATCTAATTTTTTTTTTTTTTGGTCAATGTAATTGTTTGTCCAAGAACATTCAGGGGAAATTGGTCGTCTTCACCAGAAATTTGATTAATCGTGCCTTCTGGGAATCATATTCTTTCTTTGTTCTTTGCATTTGAATGTTATGTCTAATGTTATTTAAAATTGCAGCAGTGATAAGCTTCCATTAACAGATTGAAATTTGAAAGTGTTGAAGAAATAGTCACAGGAAGCAAATTTAACTTCAGGGAATTTATGAAATTAGATTGTACGGAGGGCTTTTATTTTTAAAAGAAATAAGCCAAAGCTTACAGAACACATGTATTGAGCAAATTGTGTTTTCTCCAGTGAGGTGAGAATGGTTTGATTTTAATCTATTTTCTCCCTTCCCCCCACCTCCCAGTCACTTTGAGTTACAGAGATATTGCACTATAAATAGTATGCTTTTAAAAAAGTAGCATCAAGTACACAAACCCTTCAACCAAATCTCTAGATATATTTTTCTGCGTCCATTGATATCTCTTTATTGTTTTCTTCAACATCACAGTAAAATGTTCTCAAAACATTAACTGCAGTATGATGATGCTACCAGAAGAAATTAATGAACAGCAGTACTTATCCAAATGAAGTTATGAAAAATTCAACTTTAGAGAGGAAACAGAGATGGATGCTATTGTTTCCAATTAAATTAAACTTCTTCAAAAATGCCACCATCTTTCCAGGCTTACAGGCTTTTATATTGGAATTGATTACTATGACCTCCTGTTAACTGGCTTAAAGTCTTCTGGACACTAACATTGCAATCTTTTTTTTTAATTTAAGTTTTATTGAAGGTTGTGTTTTTACATGACAGCATTTCTGGATATATTCTTTCCCCCACTATAGCTCTCCTTCCCTCATTCCCATGCTTTCCTTTGTTTTTTTGTTTTTGCCTGTTCTTTTGGGTTGTTTTGAGACTAGGTCTCCTTTATCTCACCCTGACTGTAAAGGCAGGGACATTTGTAGCCCCACTTTAGGCAGTCTGCTGGCTTTATGTTCCTGATAGTTCCAGGAGCATAGGTCCCCCATAATGGAACCTGGGAGGCTCACCATATTAATGCTGGACTAGTGCAAACATACAATCTGTTTTAGTCCTATTTGAGCTTAGAAGTCCCAAATTAAAGGGATCTACCAGCGTTAACCTTCTGCAGTAGCAGAAATTATAGTAGCGTGTTAACCAGCCTGGCCCTTCCCGTATGAAAAAGAATAAAAAAGTTAAAATCAATGAACACATTGACTCTTTGTGACAGAGTATGGAACATTCCATACCCATTGTCTCCCACCTTTACCACGAAAGGAGGGAAGTATATTTCCTTATCACTTTTCACTGATACTCTCTGGTCAATATAATCGTACAATGCTCTGTTTTGTTGTTCATTTTATTTACATCAGTATAGACACCTTGTATGCTGTTTTCCTAGTTCTGCAAACTTTAATTTGCTTAAATTTATGTCTTTCCTTGTTTCTCTAAATTCCTCATACTTGTTTCTTATAACAGGATAACTTCCTATTACTTCATATGCCACTATTTGTTTAGCCATTCCCTAACTGATAGGCACCTGTTTTGTTTCTGGTTCTTTACAAACACAAACACAACAAAACAAAAAATCACATAGTCACAGACATAAGGGCTGGTTGCATGACCCTGTGCAAGTCACTTAACTCTTGGTGCCTCAGACAAGTCTCTAAAGCACTAATTGCAGAGAACGCTCTTATGTGTTTTGGTACTACTGAGAAAGTAATTTTCTTCCTTATGTGGATGAAACAATAGGTCCAATGAAAAATAAAACACTGTGACAGAAATCTAGGACATGTCAAAGGACAGATGTGTAGGGAGATTCATTAGAGAACAATACCTTTTTCATGCCATTAATATATATTGCCTTCTGGATAGAGCTCTGGCCTTGGAGTCAAGAGGACCTGAGTTTAAATCCATCCTCAGACACTTGACACTTAGTAGCTGTGTGACCCTGGGCAAGCACTTAACCTTGATTGCCTTACCAAAACCAAAACCAAAACAAAACAATATATATATATATTGACTTCTTTAGAAAATATAGGTTAGATAGGTTCCAGGAATTGTGCAATATAGGAATATTTAATCAGGTTAACTGACCCAGGGGCCAGAGAATAGTCTCAGGAGAGCCAAGTGGGTCTCAGATAGAGAAAACCTGGGAGGTGTGCCACTGTTTGTGACTTCACTGGACATTCAGGTGGGAGGTCCTAGGAATTTTCCTCAGAATGTTGACCAATGAGAGGAATCAGGATACAATGGGAAGAGTTCTGGATTTCAAGATAGGTGATAGTGAGCTTTGAATCCTTTCCCTGCCTGTTGAGACCAATGACATGAGGAGGTTGATTTCTTTACTTGCAAGTGAGTTGGATTTAAGTGAGACAGAGCTGTGCAAAGCCACCAGCCTCACTCTCTTCTCCAGGGTCATCTGAGTCCAGTGGCAAGGCATAGATCAGGAAGACTGGAGATGACCCCAGATGCAGTGGGAGATCTTGACCTTTTTAAGCTAAGGTCTTTTCTAGGTCTCAGTTTGTCTGAGGCAACACCCGTTCAGTGATTTAAGGCTAGGTAAGAAAGGAGGAAAAAGGTAGCTTAGATTGCCTACTTAAAAAAAAAATCAAACTGGGAGGGGAAGATTCTCAGGGTTTCTTACCAGAGCAGAGACAATTGCTATTTACACTCGTTCTGAGCCATCAAAACCCAAACAATGACCAAGTGAAGCTTGGACTGGGGGCTATTGTTGGCCAATCTGAAAGCCAGAGTGATTTGGGTTTACAGCTTGGTCAAGTAGCTCCATTTTAATCCCAAGGGGCTTTACCAAAGCCTGGTTTTCCAGAGTTCTATTTCAAAAAATCATAAATGAAACTGCATGGGGTTGTTGTGATCTTGGGGTGCTGAGAACTCCAAAATTCAAGGGCAAAAGGTGCAGGTCCTGCCTCGAAAGAATTCAACTCAACCCTTTTAGTCAGAGACAAGGTTTATTGTTTCACCAATAGATGTGGGCGGGCTTTTTAAGAACCTGCACTATTTGTAATGCTTGTATTGACAAGTAGGACAGACTCTTAAGGAATCTGAACAATTTTGTAGAGAGACTGACCTTTTTTATAGTGTGACCAATAGCTTGGGGTGACTGGGAGGTAACAGAGAAAGGGCCTAGATAGGATAAAAGAGTGGTAGTCTAGGGTGGGGCCAGATGCAGACAATGAGGGCCACAATGAAAGGGTAGTTGAAAGGATTATTAACTGGGAAAGCCTAGGTATTCCAGGTGAAAGCCAGGGACCTGGGTCATGTGGGAAAGTCTGCAGCCTTTTAGGGGTCCATCATTAATGCCCCATCAGAGTGAAAGAATTAATTGTCCAGTTATATTTTGAAATGATAGAATAAATAAGTAGGGAAGAGAAAAAAAGTCTAGCCCATAAACCCCAAGATATCTTGCAAGGTTTTAGTGATCAAAATTCATATTACTTTGGGAAGAGTACCCATAGGTAAGGGTATGATTCCCCGTGTGGACAGTCCCTGCCAATACTACTAGCTGGCTGACCACCCTCAAAGCATGGAACCTCTTCATCTGAAGGGATAATATATGCAATGCCTGCCTTATGGGGTGGCTGGAAGGATCAAATGAGAGAATGCTTTACAAAAGTCTATTTAAGTGTTAATGAACACCATTGTCATTTTGATTTTCCTTAAAGACCAGCTACTATAATTTCCTAGAAAGCTCTGAGTGTCCTGAGACCACCATGGATGATTTTCTCTTAGAAGTGAGGCAGAAGATAATCTGGGGAAAAGGAGGGGCTACTTCCCTTAAAATTTTAGGGATTGAGTTAAGGATTTGGGAACCAATTTAAGGATTTGGAGAAACTTAATTTGAATCACAAGCACAGTAACTCTTCTAAAAATGAGAGACATCACTGTTTACTACAAATTCAATACAGTTCATTCTAGGTGAGAGATTACTGAGCCTTTCTATACCTTCCCCCCAGTTATTGGCACTCTTTCGTTACATTTTATAGTTGGCTTTAAAATTTTTTTATTTTATTTTTGCCCAGTAAGCATTTATTTTGTTATTCCCTCCCCAAACAATAACAATAAAATCTCCTTAACAAATATGCCTAGTCGAGTGAAGCAAATCCTCTCATTGGCCATGTCCAAATACATGTGTGTGTGTGTATTTCACTTAGCATTTTGAGTGCATCACCCCTCTGTCAGGAGATGGGTAGCATGCTTTGTCTTTGGTCCTCTGGAATCATGGTTTGTCATTTCATTGAAGAGAATAATAAAGTCTTTCAGAGTTTTTTTTTCTTATTATTTTATAAATTATTCTTCTTGTTCTGCTCACTTCACTCTGCATCAATTCAAACAAATTTTCCCAGGTTTCTCTGATATTGTCCATTTCGCCATTTCTCATGGTGCAACAATATTCCATTCCATTTATATAATATAACCATTTTGTAACCATTTCCCACTAGATAGGAGCCCCCTTAGTTGGAAGTTTTTTTCTACTACAAAAGAGTTACTGTAAATATTTTGTACATATGGGTCCTTTTCCTCTTTCTTTGATCTTTTTTATGATATGAGCTTAGTAATTGTATCATTGAATCAAAAAGAAAACACAGATGAATAATTTAGGGCAATAGTTTCAAATTGTTTTCTCTTTGTGTTTATTCCTTGATTTCTTTTTCTTATCATATTGCCATATTTTGCTAGCATTTCTAGAAGCACTCTGTCTAAAAAGTAATGTTGATAGTAAATACTCTTTCCTTCTTGAAAATATTTTTATTTATTTCCATATGTTTTCCATTTACTTGTATACATGTGATATCCCTTTACTGTGATATCAAATCCTTGAGTATACGGAAGGTTTTGCTTTTGTTGTATTCCAAAGCCTAATCATCTTAGGTTCATAAAAAGTGTTTGTTGAATTGAAGGACACTGTACTTGGACTTCAAGTTCTGGGTCTGAGACTTGTAAGTTGTATGGCCTTGGACAAATCACTTTACTTACTGAGTCTTAGTTTCTTCATTTGTAAAATAAAGATAATAAAGTTTGTATTATCTTAAGAGGCAGCGTAACGTACTACTTGGAATAGCTAAGAAGACCTAGTATGTCTCTCATATGTATTGACTATATGACTATATGGTCCTACTCAGTTTACTTAACTTTTCTGTGCCCTAGGCAACTCTCTTGGTCCAAATTACTATGAATAACAAATCCTGTGAAGTACTCCCATTACTGTAATTCACACTACTTATTTCCGATGGACTGGAATCAATTACTGTATTTTATATAATGATAATTTAGAATATTGGAAATTCAAATACATACATTTTAGGGGGATTCATCCTTAGCACTAATCAGGACCTAGCATAGGTATTGTATGTTGCAGAAAAGATACCAACCTGCTTTGGTAAATGAAGTTGCTGCATCAGGAATTTCTTACACCAATGAAATAAATCACAAGCCCAGTACCAATTCCTGTCACACTAACTACCTTAGAGGTTCTTTTTGAGGACCAAATGAGATAATGCATGTAAATTATAAAGCACTATATAAGTGTAGGCCATGATTATAATAGCCTACATTTATGAATAATAATATTGAAAATCTAATAGCCTATATTTGTATAGTGCTTTATAGGTTATGAATATAGCTATCATCATTAATACTTTGTGAGCAATAATGGAATGGCTTATTTCCTATTTCTGAAATAAATTTAGCATAAGATAGCTACTATTAGAATTTGAAGATAGAATATTTGGGTTTTTTTAATCTGTTTTGAATATATTAGCATACATGTAGACGCTTGCTAAGACAAGATTTTGATACTAGGCATGTAGTAAAATAAAAATGAGTGATTTATACAGTGCAGACCAATTTTATTGTTAGTAACCAAAGGGATATTCTGACCAGAGAGATAAATTGATCCTGCCCAACTCTTAACCTAGAAGGGCAAAATATAAATATCCTATTATGACAAATGATTCAGCCAATGACATGGTAACATTGATCAGATTTTCAAAGTGCTGTAACTTTCCCTATTATTATCAAGTGTAACAATCTTCACAACCATCCAATATGAAAATGCCCAGGAACAGCATAGAATGCATATATAAAAAGTCTTCAGGAATGAATAAAAAATTGCTGAATCATAGGAATAGCTTATCTGTATCCCAGTCTTTTCTTAGGTCTTCATAAACCCTTTCCCCCTCCTCTTTGCAGTAGGGAGTCTATGTCAGCAGATATTTTGATTACCATATGAATAATGTTAATTCCTGACTGCTTTTCTGTCCTTTAGTTGTTGTGGTTGTTTGATAGCTTTCATAAGACACTCAGAATATTTGATCTATTTACAGAAAACAATGTTTTTGGTTTTTTCTCTGTGAGATTCACATAGTGAAGAATAGAAAACTGAATATTTTCTAGCACTCTGGCTTTGCCAGACTCTTAAACCTAAGTTGGGAATTTGCATCAGTGATGGTGGTGAACAATTATTATCTCTACTCAATGAACTAAAGAGAATGTCTGGTACTTTATTCATAATTTATCTTTGTTTTTTTTCTGGGTAGAGTCAAATAGCTTTACAAATAACTATGTAAATTTCACCAGCCTACACATTTGACTTAACACCTCTGCTCTTGGAGACATACTAACAGCCAAACAAATTATGTCCTATTTGCTCAGCCTATATTATAATTCCCTTTGGGTGAGAATGGTATCAGATAATAATTCTTTTCACGTGTTATTGATGCTTTTTTTTTTAAGCTATCATTATCATTGGACAGCTAAATGGTGCAATGGATAGAGTGCTGGATTTGTAGTCAGGAAGACCCAAGTTGAAATCCTGCCTCAGACACTTTTAGCTATTTTGACCCTGGGCAAGTCACTTAATTTCTCTCAGCCTCAATTTCCTTCTCTGAAAAATGGAGATAATAATAGCACCTACCTTTAGGGGTTGTTGTGAGGATCAAATGAGATAACATGAAACTTTAAAGCATTATAAAAAATGCTAGCTGTTATTATTAATATTATTGTTGTTATTCCTCAATATAACTCTTCCTTGTGTGATATTGGCTTTTGTCTATATGCTAGATTTATGAAATATGACCCCTATTCATAATAAATCTTCATTTTTAAGTGTAGACATGAAGTGGTCCCTACGATGCCCCCCAGTTAGAGAATACAACTGTCTAGCAAATAGGTAAGGGGTGAGTTCCCGGATGTGCACTTGGAAAGATTTTCTATGCAGCTCCCATTGTAGCACCTTCATGCTGGAAAAGGATGCCAGGGAACCATCCATCCTGCTACTGAAGCTGGCAATAGCAATAAAATCCACAGTCACACTTCTCCTGGCTTATAGAATGCATCTCTCATAGTTTTGAAGAAGGGAATGACAGATGTGGCAGATACCAGCTCCAGCCATGACCGCTGCTGCCATGGGATGACCATCTCTTCTTGTTTTTCTTCATCTCGTTCCCCTCAAAAGTTCCAAAACTCCTACCATGACCAAATCATGAAAACCCCTGATCTCCTGTCAGATGGCTGATCTCCTTGTAATTTTCTCTTTTCCCAAACTGGGGACAACCTCAAATCCCAGGGATTTTATGGCCAGCCAACAACTCCTTGCCAGATGTCATTACATTCATAAAAACAAACAAATGAACAAAATCCAAGGACAGTTAAGCAAAATCAGTGGATGTATTGGCTATATCTGACAGCATATATCTCTTTCCATGCCTGTTGTCCACCACCCTAGAATACTTCATTTTCAGTTCTCTAGCATCAAGATTGGTCATTTTGTTGATTTGGATTTGGATTTCTTTTAGCATTGTTTTCCTGTAGATTCCAAAGAATATTTCCAAGACTGAACTCCTTAAGTTCTTATAACACTGGATCTAGGATCTAAAACAGTGAATTCATCATTAGTGTCCAAATGCTTCCTTTTAATAACTTTATTGTATTTTGCCTTTTCATGTAATAGGTTCCCAAACCAGTAGACTACTCTTGCCAGCCATGGTAAGTATTAAAAAATATATGCATTATTTATGATTATATTTATATACATATATATAAATCTATTTGCTATATAAGTATATAAACCTATTTTCTATAAACTTAGAGTGTAGACTTTTTGGAAAGGGGGAGTATTGTGATATAGATATTTCCATTTGTAACCTCTAAATATTTTTTTACATACAGAAGACAGTGCCATTATGATTATAGATTTTTTTTCCTGCTTTCCATTACTTTGTCAGAGGATATGTCTGTATATATGTATATAGGCATCATATGTATAACTACAGGGTTCATAACTACCATGGAAGGGAACAATAAACACACTCAAATACCAGATGTGTACCCTAGATTTAGAAAGGCAGATTTCAAAGAGAAGATCCGATTCAACAATTCAAAAAAAAAAATCTGACAGTATAATTGTGAGTTATCTGAATGAGTGAAAAGGAAGAGCCTAAAAAATCTGGTGTAGATGCTTAGGGAGGTGTCTGATAAACTTAGATTTCAAAGACCTTGTACAAAAGACAGAATCAAGCGATCAGCAAGTATTTAATAAGCATCTACTGTGTACCATATATGGTGCTAGACAGACACAGCTCAGAATAAATGCAATATAAAGCATAAACTTTTCAGAATAGTGTCTAGAATGTTAATGTTTCAAATTAATTGAGGTTTGAAAAAAGAAATGCTAATGAGACTGAAAAAGATATTTTTAAACAATATTTGCAGCACTATATACACCTTTGAAAAAAGAAGTGGTGATAACTAGGTGTTTTCAAGGAGCTGTTAAGAAAAGGTTTTCCAACATAATGTCATTTCCTATTTTTGTTAGGTTTACTAGACTGGAAGATCAAGTCAATGGTAGATATTTTCATTTGACATCTGAATTTATAGAATAGGTGGTGCAGTAGATAGAGTATCAGGCCTGCAGTCAGGAAGACTCATCTTCCTGAGTTCAAATCTGGCCTCAGATATTAACTGTGTGACCCTGGACAAATCACTTAACCCTATTTGCCTCAGTTTCCTGTAAAATGGAAAACCATTCCAGTATCTCTGTCAAGAAAAACCCAAATGGGGTGACAAAGAGTTAAGCATGACTGAAAAATTACTAAACAACAAAAACAAGAGTTTATAAGCCTGTTCAACTAGTTTATTGTCTGGTCAACTAATTTTGCTAAATGACCACTTACCTGTAAGAGATCTTGCAGGACAGATTTGTTCATCAGGCAGTACAAAATGGCCTCCAAAACCCCTTCCAGTTTTAAGATTCTTTTATTCTGTGCGTGCATATGTATAGACTAGAGGAGAAACTGTGGCATAGCAAAGAGGCGACCTCAAAGTCATGAAAACTGTGCTGAAGTCCCAACTCCTGACACCTACAGACTGAGTGACCCATGGGAGTCTGTTAACTTCTTTGCACCCCCAAGCAACTCAATGAGACCATAAGTTGCCGATTAGTTGATGGTCTTCATGAAGATAGGGCATTTCTTCACTTTGGGCTCTCTACACTGATTAGACCCAAGAAAAAAAATAGCACCCCTTCCCCCCAAAAAACACATATGCAGTGGACACATGAATATCTTTATGCAAGTATAGTAATGACTCTAAAATATTCATTGATGAACATAAGCAATGTAGGATTTGCGAGGCAAGCCTTTATCAGTTTCTGAAGTACAGGGACCAGAACTCTATTTAGTTAAATTTTGTTTGTGCCATAATCCTGGGTCACCCTTGAATTTAAAAAAAAATCACACATCTACAAAGTGATACAAAAAGAGTGGTATAGTTTCTCATGCTTAACAAAATGACTAAAACAGGCCCCGGAACAACTGTTATTTTTTAAAGACAGTTGACTAAAATATCAGAAAAATAACTGTTTTAAAAAAATTAGATAGGATAGAACACCCAGAGACTTTGGATAATTTTGGTACAGTCATGGAGGTGGGACTCAGTGTCATCTTTGCATTCATACCCATGATGGGAGATGCTGTTGTGCTAACGCCTGAAGAGCTTGTATCATGGACCTGGTCTGAATCAAATATCTAGTACCACCCCCTCCATTCCCCTTCTGCCCACACTGACCTATCTTAACACACATACTGTAACTAAGATAAAAAGGAAGGAACATTAGTACCACTCTGTGAGCACCACCATCCCGCTCTTCGCAGCCTTCACGATTCCCTCCCCTGCAAGCACTCCCTGACTCACACAACATAATTTGCTTGCACCCAATGTGCAGTCTTCACTGTCCCTGAATCTACTTCAAGTCATGGTTGATTCCTTCAAGTATCCCAAACCAATGGAGAAGCAAGAGCCTTCCCATGGTTGACATTCCTCAATGCCCTGATAGAAATGCCATTTCAGGCACTTTTTCCTTCATCAATGGCTTCCCTTGTAGAGTAAATGTCTTCTTTTCCACTGGAAAGGCAATATCTTCCTGTCTCTGAGTCCTGACAAATTCTTAGTCTGTTTGCAGTCAGTGTTTATTGAAAGCCTAGATCCCCTTAATTTACAATGACTAGATATTTCATTCATATTCTGGAAGCTAAAAGATACAGAAGCAAATGACATTTCTAGATTTGGCCAGGTCTAGCTTAGCTTCCTAATACAGCTGCAACCTGGGTTATTTGAGTGTTTATTCAATAATCTTAACTAGTTGTTTTTACTCGATCAGGGCCTGCTACAGTTCTGAGTGAGCCTGCAATGTATTCCTGATCCACACCCTTCCTTTTCACTGGCCCCATTCTGGCCATTGGCTATCTTCTATCCCAGATCCCTCCAGGGGACTTGGAAATTGAAGTTACTCAAGGGTTTGACATGAGACAGTGGCAGAAATAGGATTCTTCTCTGCCATGTTCTATCTGGATGAAAGTGAGACCCTCATTTCCCTGGAAATCTAAGTGGAAATCATAATAAAAAATGAGTCCTGTGTCAACAACATAGGTGATCAAGTTGAAAATATCCAGGGAAAAAAAAATCTAGCCATGATAATAGAAAGATAAAGCTTCTTTTTCTTCTTCTGGTCTAGGGGGTTCTTATCTTTTTTTGTTTGTCATGGACCCCCTTCACTATTCAATAATGCCTATGGACCCTTCCTCAGGAAAAAAAAAATGTTTTTAAATAATAGGAGGAATTGCTAAATGTCAGTGAGAGTTTTGTGAAAATAAAGATGCAAGTTTTTTCCTTCCAAGTTCTTGGATCCTTTGAAATCTATCCATGGATCCCTTGGTGTTTTGTGGACCCCAGGCTAAGAATCCTAGCTTAGTCATTACCGACATGTCGTTACTGGGTGTTGCAGTCACAAAGGTAATGATTTCAGAGGCAAAAACTAAATGAGGCTGAAAATGAGATGCACTTTACAAAATAAATAAATCCATTAAGTCTGGGAATTCAGGGCACAAGGGAGCAGCCTGTATAACTCTTGCATTATAGGCTTGCCAAATTGTAGGACTTCATGGTAATTTTGATCTCTTATAGTGAATAATATTACTGCTTATGCCTAACAAGACAAATGAAATGAAACATTTTGAAGACCCTTATTATTTCAGCCACAGAGATACGAGGACAAAGAAAAAATCTTTCAGCGATGAATATAGATAAAAATTCCATATAAGGAAATTCCATATAAGATACTTAGTGTTACTTTCTTCTTGATCTTCCCAAATAGAGAAAAAAAAGGACTTCTCTGAAACAAACATACACTTTCTTTTCTTTTTTTAATCTTTTTTTAAAAAAAAATCTTTTTTGTTAATCATTTGTATGTATATACACATATATGTATATATACATACATTATATACATATACATGTACATACATACACACACGCACAAACACATGTCACCATAGTTTCCCCCCAATATTCCTACCTCTGCTTCCCAGAGAGCCATCCTATATAATAAATAGTATTTTTAAGGCAAAAAAAGAAAAAGAGGAAAAACATCAGTACAACTAATTAGTACATTGGAAAAGTATGAAACTACATGCGTTATACGACACTTATGGGCCTCCCACCTCTGCAAAAGAGTGAGTTAGGTTAGGGTCTCATAGCTCTTCTTTTGAGTCCTGCTTGTTGTTTATAATTTTGCAACATTCACTTTTGATTTTTATGTGTGTGGGGGCGGGGTGTCCTTTCCATTTAAATCGTTGTCATTGTGTATATTGTTTTCTTGGTTCTGCTTGCTTCACTCTGCATCAATTCATATAGATCTTTCCATGCTTTTTTTGTATTCATCTCACACATCATTTCTTACAACAAAGTAATATTCCATTACATTCATGTGCCACAATTTGTTTATCCATTCTCCAATTGATAGATGTCTATTTTTGTCAAATGCGGCCTTGTGAGAACTGCAGTAGGGACTCAAACACTTGTTAACTCCTTGTTGGATGTTATGAATGTTCTTGAATGTTCAACTCCTCCAGATGATGGAACTTTTTTTTTTTTTTAAAGAAATACTGACTTGGATTTATTTTGTCCCTAAAAAAATTACCTTGACTTGAAACATGATCTTTTCAAGTCAGGGGGAATGTAAATGTTTCAGAACTTATTAACGTCATTATTCCTTCAGTTAAAGGAAGTTTTTCCTGTGGGCTAGACCATATTTATTGCAGTAGCCAGGTCTGAACTCACAAAATGAAATAGGAGATTAAGGTCAATATGAAGATAATTCTGATAAAGCTGTTTGTAAAAGTAGCTTTATCTGAATTATTCCAGTATTTGAAGCAATTGTTTTTTGGGGGGGTGGTGGTGATGTTTGAATTTTCTGGAGAATTGATATAATATTGCATGTTGCTTTAGGAGCAAAAATGTGGTCATTGAATAATAATTACCTAGATAGCCTTTTGTTTTATTTCTTCTAATTTATTTTACACAGGGCAGCAACCTATATTTATTTGCTTTTGTATGCTTGCTTTTGTTAAATGCTTTTGTTGCTATGTCTGAGACTGCTGATATTATGAATCAGCGAAATAAGATATTTATTTATTTATTTATTTTGAGACAGTTGGAGTTAAGTGACATGCCCAGCGTCACATAGCTAGTAAATATGAACTCAAGTCCTCCTGACTCCAGGACTGGTGCTCTATCCACTGAACCACCTAGCTGCCCCTTTTTCCTCTTTTTGTATCTCAAACACTTAGCATAGTACCTGTCATGTATTAGTCACTTAATAAATGTTTATTGATTGATTCATTCTAAGCCCAGTGTTATATTCTCTAAACCAAGCTGCCTCCCAACTAAGTTCTGTTTCTCTCTTTGACATTTACTAGCTGTGTGGCCATGGACAGGTCACTTACCCTTTCACTGTTTCAGGAAATGTTTTAAGGATAGAACATGATCTGTCAGCTATCACTGGAGGGAGTCTCCTCACTGTTCCCTACATCATAAGTTCCCTACATCATAAAATCTCTGATCGGGGCAAAAAAAAAAAGTTGAATCAATAAATATTTATTAAACAACTACTATGTGCTAGGGCTTGTGAGAAGCCCTGGAGATACAAAAAAGTCAAAATTAATCCCTGCCCTCTAGGAGCTCACAATCTAATGGGGGAGACAATTTACAGATAGCTATGTACAAACAAGAGACAGACAGGATAAACTGTAGACAATCTCAGAGGGGAGGAACAAACATTAAAGAAAATTAGGGGCAGAGCCAAGATGGTGCAGTAAAAGCAGCAACCTAGATGAAGTCTCCCAACATTCCCCTCCAAACAACTTTAAAATAACTCCTCAAATCAGATTTTGGAGCCAAAAAAAGGTCAGAGTGAGTTATTTTTCTAGCCTAAGACAATTTAGGGGGTTGGCAAGAGAGATCTATTATGCCTGGGTGGGAGCCTTCCAGGAGCACAGGTAGAGAGAGAGTGCCAGTGGCATCCGTGACAGTTGTGGTGACAGGAGCAATAGCAGCAGCAGCTTTAGGAACTCTTAACTCGGTGGTGGAGGATGGGACAACTGGTCAGAAAGAGAATAGGGGGACTTGTTGTTGACATTGGGTCCAGCTGGCACTTATTAGCAGCTCTATTGCCCGTAAGCGGTTCTGGGTCACAGTTCCAAGGTGGAGAGGAATGCTTGTCATCTGTCGCAAACCAGTGAGGTCTTGGTTGCAATTCTAGAGTGGTGAAGAGCACTAGCACTTACAGTCTCAGGAAAGCAGGGGACCTGGTCACAGTTCCAGAGTTAAAAGAAATACTGTAGCTTGCAGCTACAGAGGTACAGGAACCCTTTCTGGGTAAAGACCAGAGTACAGCAGGAAAGCAGTAAAAAACAACAACAACAACAACAAAAACCTCTTTCCAGATTGTAGCACTTTGGAAGCACCAAAACCTTGTGGACCCCCAGAACTAACTCTGAAAACAGCAGGATGAAAAAATCTGAAGCTCCGCATACTCAGGGGAGCAGTGCCCAACTTTAACACAAAATTCAAAGTCAAGGAATAGGCTGGAAAACGAACAAACAGGAAAAAAAAAACAACTTAGCCACAAAAACCTACTATGGTGGCGGGGAAGATCAAGATAAAAACTAGGAAGACAACAATGTGAAAACAGCTATAAACACATCCTTAAAGAAAAATCCTAATTGGACCCAAGCCCAATAAGAATTCCCAAAAGAGTTAAAGAAAACGGTAAGAGTGATAGAGGAAAAACTGAGAAAAGAAATGAGAGTGATACGAGAAAATTTTGAAAAGAAAATGAACAGCTTGGTAAAAGAGGCACAAAAAACACCAAAATAACACCTTAAAAAAACTAGAATTGGTCTAATGGCAAAAGAGGCATAAAAATTCACTGAGGAAAACAACTCCTTAAAAAGCAGAATAGGTCAAATGGAAAAGGAGGTAGAAAAACTCACTGAAGAAAAGCAGATTTGGTCAAATAGAAAAAGGTATAAAAGTTCACTCAAGACAATAATTCCTTAAAAAGTAGAAGTGGGCAAATGGAAGCTAATGACTCCATTAACATAAAAAATTAATCAAAGTCAGAAGAAAAAATAGAAGAAAATGTGAAATATCTCATTGGACAAATAACTGACATGGAAAACAGATTGAGGAGAGATAATTTAAGAATTGTTGGTCAACCTGAAAGCCATGATAAAAAACAAAAGAGCCTAGACATCATATTTCAAGAAATTTTAAAGGAAATCTGTCCCAATATCTTAGATCCAGAGAGCAAAATAGAAATTGAAAGAATCCACCAATCACTTCCTGAAAGAGATCCCAAAATGAAAACTTTCAGGAAAATTATAGCCAAATTCTAGAACTCAAGGAGAAAATATTGCAAGCGGGTAGAAACAAACAATTCAAATATTATGGAATGATAGGATCACACAAGATTTGGCAGCTTCCACACTAAAGGATCTGAGAGCTTGGAATATGAGATTTTGCATATTTCACATATATAATTGATATCATTTTGCTTGCCTCCTCAGTGGGTAGAAGAGGTGTGAAAGGGAGGGAGAGAATTTGGAACTCAATTAAAAAAAAGAATGTTAAAAATTTTAAAAATTAAGGAGGATTGGAAAAATCTTGTTGAAGGTAGGATTTTAGTTGAGGCTTGGAGGAAGACAGTAAAGACAAGAGGCAGAGATGGGTGAGAGAGTTCCGGGCATATACAACAACCAATGAAGATGCAAACATAATGGAAGATGCTTTGTCTTGTGCAAATAACAACAAGGAAGCCAAGATTACTGCCTCGTAAAGCATAATGTGGGAAGTAAGAAGACTAAAAAGCTAGGATGGGACCAAATTATGAAGGTATTCCAAAACCAAAAATGAAATCTTTAGTTGATTAATCGAAGGATAGCTTCACATGAATGAGGACTTTTAATAGATGAACCTTAGAGAAACTTTATCTCCATTGAAGGGAATGTGGAGGAGTTGTGTAGTAGATCTCCCTAATTTGGGCAGGATTTCACCCAGACTATTCAAGATCGATATAAATATCCATTCTATTTTCAGTTTCAAGGGAAGGATTTTTCCAAACTTTAGCAATCTTTTTATTCCCCTACTGTTATGACATCATGTTGGATGATGAAGGGTCATGTGTGAAGAACTGCATGGAGGCCAGTGTGGCTAGATTGAAGAATAGATGGAACGGAGTAAAGAATGTGAAATGTGTCAGACACAACAGTGGAACCATAGTTAGGAGAGGATTAACAAACTGCTCCTATCTGTTTTAGGACAAAAGTATTGTTTTAGTCCCTGCTGTTTCCAAGTTCGTTAACATATCTGTCTGCCATTGGTTCTTACAGGTATGCAGGAGCAATGGAAAGACTGCAGGCAGAGACTGAACTTATTAATCGGGTAAATAGTACTTATCTTGTGCGACACAGGACCAAAGAGTCAGGAGAATACGCAATTAGCATTAAGTAAGTGGGCCAAGAACTTTTACAGAAATTACAAATTTCCTATGGTCATAATTGCTTAGATAGTCTGATATGTATTACACTGATGCTGAAAATGGGGGGAGGGGAATCTAATTATACCAATGGTAATGTATAGTCAGACAGTTCATTAATACATAAAAATATCTGTTAGAAAAAAAAACTGCAGTAAATGCTATGGGCTGCTAATTGGTATATTACACTTCTTTCATGTTCAAGCATTTTAATAAAAAAATGTGCTAGCAAATTCTAGCCATGAAAATTACTGCATGGTTCTTTTTCTGTATCTACATCCATTCTTAGTGGAGACTTGGGAAATGAATGTGGTTTAGCAACTGACTTAAAGATTGACTCCTTCTGTCATTTCTTTGTGGTCTTTTCCCTACCTCTAGATGCTGGCTGCATCTTCAGCCATATTCTAGTAGATGTATTTTGTTAATTAGCTGTCAACAATATATTGGCATAGGTATACATTTTGTCTTTGGAATTAATTCCTGTAATGTTATTGGGGCATGCCCTCTGGTAATTATTGATCTGGGCTGATTAAAAACACATTTATATTCATAAGTTATGCATTGCCCACAGGTACAATAACGAAGCAAAACACATCAAGATTTTAACAAGAGATGGCTTTTTCCACATTGCAGAAAATAGGAGATTTAAAAGTTTAATGGTAAGCATTGATTAGGTTCTTTCTCTTCAATGTGCAGTGCAGTCTCAATGTTAATTCTATACCTTCCCAGAAGTTTGGCATCCTGAAAAGTTATTAAAAGAGAAACATCTATTATTTTGCAATAGGTTCAGCCATATTTCAAGGTTTGGCTTCACAAAATGTTTATGGGAAGAGTTGAATTAAAAAAAAAACTTTCTTGCTTAAATATTTGGGGCATATCATTAATTTGCAACACATTTTCAATCTGTTTCTCCATCTTAAACATCCTGAGCATTCTATTCCATCCTCATCAGTTCATAGAATCAGAGAATGTTAGAGGTGGAGGGGACTTTACAGGACAATGTGGTTTCTATAGGATGAATGTTAGATTTAATTGGAGGACCAGAGTTCAAATCCCAACTGTGCTCTTTATTATCTGTGTGACCTTGGACAAGTGAAGTTAAACTTTTTGGACATCGATTTCCTAAATCTGTAAAATGAGTGGGTTGGATTAATTAGCCAGTCAGCAAACATTTATTAAGTATTTTATGCCATTATGTATGCTTACTATGTGTACTATGCCAAGTACTAAAGATACAGAGAAAGGCAAAAACAAGGACCTTATGTTCTAATGGGAGTGATTAACATGTAAATAACGAGCTGCATACAAAATACACATAGAGTAGATGGAAAGTAGGGCAGCAGCAGATAGAGTGTCGTTCCTGGAGTCAGGAACATTCATCTTCCTGAGTTCAAATCTGGTTTCAGAAACTTACTAGCTGCATGACTCTGGGCAAGTCACTTTTCCCTGTTGGCCTCAGTTTCCTCAGCTATAAAATGAACTGGAGGAGCAATGGCAAACCACTCCAGTATCTTTGTCAAGAAAACCTTGACATGAAAAGTCGGACACAACTGAAATGATTGAACAACAACAACAAAGATTGAATGTATTTCTAGAGGGGAAGGCATTAGCAGGTTGAGGGGAGACGGGGGAAGAAAGTCTTGTAGAAGGTGTGATTTGAGCTGAGTCTTGAAGATAGCCAGGAAAACCAAGGGGTGGAGGAGGTGAGATTGCAACTTTCTAGGCAGGGAGGACATCCAGTGCAACCACATGCGTCACATTTGAAGAACTACAAAGAGGTCAGTGCTGCTACACTGAAGAGCGGATGGAAGCGAGTAAAGGATATGAAACTGGAAAGGGAGGGAGGGACCCAATTCTGAGGAGCTATAAAGGCCAAACAGTATCTTGGAAGTATTTAAGGCCCCTTCTAGTTCCAGGTCTATGATTTTATGGTCCTCGGAGCTATGATCAATTTATACATTAGACTAGTCATCAAGTCCACTGCCTCACTTACTAGACGAGGAAAATCAGGTTCAGAGGGTAGCTTACCACATTCACATGGCTGGTTATTCAGTCAACAAGCATTTTAAAACTACCAGCTATGTGCCAGGCAATGTGCTAAGTATCTCTCCATTAGATTGTAAGCTCATTGAGAGCTGAGACTGTCTTTTGATTCTTTTTGTATTTTCAATGCCTGGAGCATGATAGACTTTTTTTTTTTTTAAGGGAAGCAACTGGGGTTAAGTGACTTGCCTAGAGTCACACAACAGCTAGGAAGTATTATGTGTCTGAGGTCGGATTTGAACTCAGGTCCTCCTGACTCCAGGGCCGGTGCTCTATCCACTGCACCACCTAGCTGCCCCTTGTGATAGACTTTTAATAAATGTTTATTGACTTATTGATTAAGCACTAGGGATACAAAGAAATGCAAGAAAAAAATACCCAGTCTTTGCTTTCAAAGAACTCAAATGGGGGAGACACGCAAAGACATTTAGGTACAAACAGGGTATATTCAGCATAAATTGGAGACAATCTCAGACAGAACTCATTAAAGTTAAGGAGGAATAGGAAAGACTTCTTGTAAAAGGTAGAACTTGAGCTAAGACTTAAAGAAAGCCAGGAAGCTAGGAGCTATAGTTGAAGAGGGAGAGAGTTCTAGGTGTAGGGGATGGTCCAGAGATGGAGTGTTCTATTTGAGCAACATCGGGGAGGTCAGTGTCACTGGGTTATAGAGTAATTCATAAAGTATGTGGTGGTGGGAATGGGGTGGTGGTGATGAAGTAATGTGTAAGAAGACTGGAAAGTTAGGAAGGGGGCAGTTTACGAAGGACTCTGAAAGCCAATATTTTATATTTGATCTTGGAGGCAATAGGGAGCTACTGGAGTTTATTGAAGAAGGGTGCGACATGGTCGGAATTAGGCCTTAAGAAGATCAATTGGACAGCTGAGTGGAGGATGGATTAGAGTGAGGAAAGATGTGAGACAGAGAAGACAATCAGCAGGCTACAGCAGTAGTCCAAGTGTGAGGTGATGAGAGCCTGAACCAAGGTGGTAATAGTGTCAAAAGAGGGAAGTCAGTGAGTTCATAGAGGTTAATAGTTAATAGTAAAGCAAAATTAGAAAACAGGCCTCCATGTTTTGTCTCTAGTGCCTTTCCTTGAGCTGTGCTATCTTTCGTAGGTATATACTTAGGGAATGTATATTGCTTTTATTAACAGCTTTAGTAACATATGATTAGATAGCTACTAAAGCTTTTTCCTTTTATAGCCCTTCTCTTGGTGATCCCGTCTATTTCTATAGCCTTAAATCTGATACATTCTAAACCTATGTCTGTACCTTTGATCTCTGCCCTGAGCTCAGGACCCATTTTTGCTGCCTATGGGGAATCTCCACTTGGATGTTTTGTTGACCCCTAACTTCTGGGCCGGAGGATGTCAGATGGGTCTTTAGAAGCCACCTAACCCAACTTAGACCTAAACCAGAGTCCTTTTTACATTATCCCCAACCAGTGGTCATTCAGGCTTCTTAGAATCTCTCTCTAAAATTGTGCTTGATCAGGAGTAATAATAGTTTATTCCTTCTGCCATAATATTGCTTTTATCTGTTATCTCCTTCTAGCCCTATTTCTATCAGCCTACTTTGTAATATCAAAACCTTAGAGCTGAAAGCAATCTTAGCAGTCATCTGGTTCAATTCCCTTACTTTACAGATGAGGAAATGGAGGCCCAGAATTGTGAAATGACTTTTCCTATGTCACAGTGCTAATCAATGGCAGAGCTGGATCCTGAAGGCAGTTCTTTTGACTGTTTGAATCTATTAGTTTTTCCTATGCCATGCTGACTCCCATTCTTGTAGGCCGCAGCAATGGCCTCTTGACCAGTCTCTCCATCTCCAGACTATTCTCTGATCTGTTCTCTACAAACTTCATAATCTAACATTCCAGGGCTTTTCATACTCTTAGCTCCTACCCAGCTTTGCTTCCTTATCTCATGCTATGCCTTTTCACGTTTGTGATAGATTAGTCAAATTGGACTATTCAATGTCACGTGAACACACCCCATACTTTCCTGACTCTGTGTCATTTCTGTGTCCTCTATCTGACATGCTTTCTCCCTACTCCTTCATCTCTTGAAATCCTACTTGTCTTTGAAGATCTAGCTTAAGTGACATCTCTTTATATTTCAAGGGCTGCTTTCAATGGAAGTTTATGAGGCCATTTGGATTTTTGAAATTAATTGATAAAGTATCTGAAACATACCATTAATTTGCAGCCCATTTTAATCTGTTTTTCTGTCTTCATTCTATGTCCTCTTCCTCACCCTAATCAGTTCATAAAATCAGAGAATGTTAGAGATGGAGAAGCTGAAGGAGGTGCTGTGATGTAAAAAAAAGAATGCTGCTAGGTGGTGCAGTGGATAAAGCACTAGCCCTGGAGGGAGGACCTGAGTTCAAATCTACCCTCAGAGACACTTACTAGCTGTGTGACCCTAGGCAAGTCACTTAATCTGATTACCTCCAGAAAAAGAAAAAAAAAAGAATGAATGAATGAATGAATGCTGTATGTACAAATGAGTAAATTGAGGTCACGACGTTGGATGACATTCATGACCACATGGGTAATATGGGAGCTAAAAAATGAACCCAGATCCAGGACCCTTTCCACAGTATCATGTTGTTTTTCAATAGTAAGCTAAGGGGTTATATCACCATCCTTGTTTCAACACCAACCTAGCAGGATTGTTGGGAGGGGAAAAAAATCCTTTGTAAGTCTTAAAATTCTATATAAAGCTGTGTTGTTACATCATTTTATAGTATTTTTAACAATTATGTGTATGTGTATTTGAGTGAGAAATCAGAGATAGGATTACAAATTTTCCTTTAGAAATGAATTCCTAATACCACTATCAAAATGAGACACATTTATTCTGAAATGATAAGACATTTGAAGAGAGTACCTCAGATGCATTTTTCATATTGTGCTAAGTATTTTGCATTGCATCATTATAGGTTACTTACTCAATATATCATTCATTGAAACATCGATCAAATGATACTTGCACAACACCCTTCCAGAAAACATCTAAAGCACTTTGCAAATAAGATTAAAGTCTAAACCGATTGTGGAAAGTTTCACAAATCACCCTGAAAATGTCCATAAATCTTCCTTCCTTCCTTCCTTCCTTCCTTCCTTCCTTCCTCCCTCCCTCCCTCCCTTCCTTTCTAGTTATCTATCTTCTGTCTATTTGTCTGCCTACTCCTTCTGTCTATTTGTCTTTTCAGTCTGTCATTCTTTCTTTCATGATTTTTTAAAAAAAGTCTAATTTCTTAAAGGGAAAGGTCACTGTTTGTAAACAAAAGTGAAAAGAAAATATGGAAAGGTTCAAGGGCAAATATGTCATTCTCTTAAGTCAAGGAGTGAAGGATAGGAAGCAAAAGATATGTTTTGAAATATTACTGCAGTTCAGAATCAGTAGCCAGACTCTAGCATCTTTAACTGCTGGAATTGACTTAGGTTTCCTCTGAGAATCTGGACCCTGATAAGGTTTCTAGCAGTAGAAGCTCTACAAGGAATGAAAACACTTGAGGGTGGTGGCAAGTGGATACACAAATACTGAATGACAGTCGCCCAGCTGGAAGATGAGAAAAGTGCGAGTGGGGGGGATCTCTACATCTCTGCCAG